CATCTCAGTTTTCATTGAGTTGCAAGTATGGGATCACGGCTATGTGCTGAAGTKTGTACTAGCTGTGGTGCATCCATCTATACATGCCAGTCCCTTTGGAGTTTCATCTGATAATGTTACAACATTCCTGAAGAAAGTATTGAAGATTTAAATTCTTTGCAAGTATAAATATGTGTATTTATTTATGGTGCGAAATTCTGCAAAAAGTCTTGGCTGTCAATATGTCTTTTCCAGATACTAGATATAATATTTCTTTTCCCCCCTGCATTGTATTAATAATATGATACTCACTGGGGCTCTTTGGATTATTTTCTCGATGAGATGGCAAGATTTGGTGAGGTGAACAAACATCATGGTCTGTAGATTCAGATTGTGGTTTAATGGTAGAAGAAGGTAGGAAGAGTGTAAGTTTCCTCTTATTTTTTTCTAGTTAATATCAATAAATAAGTGACAATAACATTCAGAATCATTTTCCAAATGATCTATATCTGAAAGTACTAGTTAAATTGTAGAGAATAATTTGTATCATATAATTCATTGAATTCATTCACATCTTAAAGGTTTTTGACAGTATAGAAGTAAGCAGAATAAATTCTCAATGTTTACATTATCTCTCTTTCTACTCCTCTCTCCTTAGAAATAATCACTATCAACAGTATGATGTTCATATTTTAGTCTTTTTTTGGTTAGATAGAGGGAGCTGCAGTTAATTTTGATAAGACATGTGTTTTTTATTGTAAAATATACTTGGTCCTTTCTTTCTGACACTATTTGATATTGAGTATATCCATTTTGTTGTATTTTTTTTTTTTAATTTCTGTTCCATCACCCCAGACTTGAGTTTTCTTTTCACCGTTGCAGCCCTTTTTCTGTTACTTTCAGGCTTCTGTTCATATTTTCTAAACTCTCAAGTATTTCTGTAGTCACTCTCATTGGTTTCTCTTATTTATTCTGCTGATTCTCCGTGAATGGCTTGATGATTCTTTAGTCTGTATTTTTTCTTCAGGTCTTTTATGCTTCAGATCCATATATTCATCTATCTATCTGTGCTTCTGTGTTTCATAGGCTCATCAACTCCAACATTTTCCAAGCTAGCATTAACTTCTTTCACTCTTAAATATTTGTTTCTTCTAGGTTTCCTGTTTTACAGCTTTATAAGCTAGAAATTTGACCATCAACACTGATTTTCTTCTACCTTTTCCATAACTTGTGGGCATCTTCAAATTTCAGATACATAGTTAGGATTTGGATCTACAGTGTACCCCAAAGGCTCAGGTTTTAAAGGCTTGATCCATAGTACACAATTTTCAGATGTGGCACATGATTGAATCATGAGGATTTTGACCTCATCAATGGATTTATCCATAAGTGATAAGTGATACATATTTGATGGCATTATTGGGAAGTGGCACACATGTAGACTGTGGGGCCTAGGTGGAGGGGGTAAGTCACTGTGGACATGMCCTATATATATATCTTGTTTCTGGCTTCTTCTCCCATTCCTCCAGTCCCTGTATCTGTTGTCTGTGTGTCTGTCTGTCTCTTGTTCTCTCTTTCTGCTTCCTAGCTGCCATGAACTGAGCAACTTTCTTCTGCCACACCCTTCTGCCTTGATCTTCTGCCTTGTCTTAGGCCCAAAGCCATGGCCCTGGCCAACCAAGGACTGAAACCTATGAAACCATGAGCCAAAACAAATCTTTTTGCCTTGATGTTTCTCATATATGTATTTTTTTATTTCTTATTTTTTATTTTTTTGGACACAGGGATGGATTGCTTAGCTTACTAACTCACATACTTTGGTTCATTCCTTACACTTTCATTGGCTTGAAGTATTATAGAATTATAGTAATTTCTTGATTTCCAGCCTCCCACATTTTCTCTGCTCTGTGTAGAGTACACTTTAAGGAGCATACTTTCTGAACTACAGTCTCATTTGCCAAAGGAGGATGATGATATTTCACCACACATTCAACTCAACTCCTTTTTCCTCATGTTTCAGAAAAAGGTACAGTAGAAAATCCCTGCTTTTATCAGGCAGGGAATTGCCCATGTTTTCTGTCTTATGGAAACTTAACTTCTTCCTATTTCCATGAGTATTTCAAAGGGAATATTGAGGAACAAAATATTTATTAAATRTCTTAATCTTAATTAGATTTCACAGCCCATTCGAAGTTTGTGACTTCTGTATTTATCGAGTGACATTTGAATGAGACAGAGGTCGACAAAYTGCATAGCAGGTACTAATATCCAGATCTCTGTTCTTCAGGGAAGTTTCATTTTAGCTTCATTTCCCTAACCTCTTTATCTTTTTACCCTACCTGTTATGGTGWTTAAGTAACAGCTAAACTGAGGTAAAATTCAAATATCCTAAATTCTCTCATTCTTTTCTAGTATTATTCAATGGTTTTTAGTGTAATGACAGTTATATAGCCATCAGCACAATGAATTTTAGGAAACTTTTATCACCCCAAAAGAAAATCACTATCCCTTTGCTTGCCAATCKGTGCTCAACTACATTTCCAGTCCTAGCCAACTACGGATCTTCCTACTCTATAAATTTGTCTATTCTGGAATTTTACATTTGTGATATTTTATGATTTACAGTCTTTTGTGGTTGACTTCTTTTATTTAGTAGAATATTCTCAAGGCTCATTCATGTGATGGCATATAACAGTACCCTTTCTTTTGTTGCCAAATAATATTCCATTATTTGCATATATCTAATTTTATTTATCCATTTATCATTTGGTGAATATTGGGTTGTTTCCATTTTTTTACACTGTTGTGTCTATGTTGCTATGAATATACTTGTATGAGTTTCTACAGGACATACGTTTTCATATACCTAGGAATAGAATTGCTAGGTTGTATGGTAATTCTTTGTTTAGCCCTTTGTGGAACTTTCAGATTGTTTTCCAAAGGGTCTTTATACCCGTACATTCCTGCCAGCAATATGAGTTCCAGTTTCTATTCATCCACACTAATAGTTGTCTTTGGTATTAATTTTTAGCTTGCTATATATGAAGTGGAATTTCATGGTGGTTTTCATTTGCATTTCCCAATGGCTAACCAAGTTGAGCTTTTTTTTTATGTACATATTGTCTACTTGTATACCTTCTTTGGAGAAATGTCTATTAAGATTTTATGCCTGTTTTAAAAATTCTATACTGACTTTTTACATATTCTAGATATAAGTCCCTTAACAGATATATGGCTTAAAAATATTTTCTCTCATTTAGTAATGTGTCTTTTCTTTTAGTGAATGTAAATCTTTGAAGCACAAGATTTTTTATTTTTATGATGTTCAATTTATCAACTTTTTTCTTTTGATGCTTTTGATTTTATTTCTAAGAAACAGTTTGTCAAGCCAAGCTTACAAAGACCTATGCCTGTTTTCTTTTGAAAGCTTTTTGTTTCAGCTCCTTTATTCAGGTATCTTGGATTAATTCTTCTCAACATTGTTTTGTATCACTGTTTTTTGCTTTATTTTCTTGTGGTGCTAGGGATTGAACYAAGGGCTTTGTGCTAGCTAGGCAGGTGCTTTACCACTGAACTATATTCCCAGCCCATGACAGTGCAGTGTTTTAAAATTTTTCTTCRTATAGGTTTTGCTCTTTTCAAAAGTTTATTGGCTTTTAATTCTTTTTTTTCCCCCTACATACTGGGCATTGAACCCAGGGGCACTTAGCTGCATCCCCAGTCCTTTTAATATTTTTAAATTTCGAGACAGGTTTTCACAAAGTTGCTGAAACTGGCCTTGAACTTGCAATCCTCCTGCCTCAACTTCTTGAACCACTGGGATTACAAGCTTGCACCACCATACCTAGCTTGTGTTTTATTCCTTTGGTGTTATTATAAATATGCTTCTGTTTTTGAATTTTATGTTTTGACCTCTCATTGCAAATCTATAGAAATAATATTTTTAAAATAATGAATTTATATACTGCAACATGCTGAACTCTTTTATTCTAATAGGTTTTTAAAATAAAGTCATTTGAGTTTTATGTATGGGCATCCTGTCTGAAAATAGAGATTTACTTATTCCCCCTCCCTTTCCCTCCCCTCCCTTTTCCTTTCCTCCCCTATTCCCTATCTTTGRGGAAGTGTTATTTAGGTAAACAATCATATAACTTAGCCTGATGTTGCTTCTCATAGTCTGCTTCACTCAGTATATATCTGTTTGTGGTGACACTCTGTATATACATCTTACTGTGATGAGAACCATTTAGATTGTTTAAAATGAAATGGAAAATGAAGGGTAGCCTTACTCAGGAAAGGTCCTGAGATATGACTGTCTCCTGTATAGAAGTATTTCCCCCACATTCACACTTTAAATATTAAATATATTTGAAGATAGAGTCCATGGGAAACATTTGTCTTAACTTTCCTGGCCTATTTTTTTTGGGGAATGAGGTACTGGGGATTGAAATCAGGGCACTGGATCACTAAGCCACATCCCCAGGCCTATTGTATATTTTATTTAGAGACAGGGTCTTATTGCTTACTACCTCACTTTTTGCTGAGGTTGGCTTTGAACTTGAGATCTTCCTGTCTCAGCCTCCAGAGCTGCTGGAATTACAGGTGTGCAACACTGTGCCTGRCTCTGGCGTCTTAATTGAAGGAACATGTTGATTTTTTTCCCCTGAATCCTATAGTTAATCTCTTTTACCTGAATTCATTGAATGTATGGAGATAGGCATTTTAGATATAATAAGTAGGAATTTTGTCTTTAAAAAAATCTATGAAATAAAGTGGTTCTATTCTGGGATTTTTTTTTTTATCTTAGATTTTCTGAAAAGTTTCTAATCAACTTTTAACTACTACCAACATTCATGCTAAATAAAACATGGTTATATACAAATTTTGCTTAAATTTTGTTTATTGTCTCTGTTCAGATTATCAGATGTTACTTTATTTTTCCCTCATATTTTGAAATGCACTGTTTTGAAGAGTTTTGTTTTGTTTTCTGAAATATTAGATGTAAATGTTATTTTTTTTAGACTAAACTTCAGTGGCTCTGTGAGGAGCTGAGAGAGAAAGAATCCAGAGAGAAAAATCTGCGACAACAGCTGATTCTCTGTAGACAACAACTCCGAGATCTGACTGAAAACAAGGAATCTGAGCTCCAATGTCTCTTCGAACAGATAGAAAGGCAGGAGCAACTTCTGGAAGAAATAAATCTGGAGAAGAGAGGTGTGTCAACTGCTTTTGTTCTTATTTTTTCTTTATATTCATGGAATCCTACAATTGGGAAAATGGTACTTGTACTACCCCTAGCTTGGACTGTTTCCAAACCCATCACCTTTCCTATCTCTTCATTTCTKAGACTAAAAGAGGAAACTCTTTTGAGCCCTGAGAATTTTCCTGCAGCCACCAGTKTCCTTCCTCTGTGCATTGCATTTGTATCTACTCGATGCTTTCACGTATTAATTTGGGAAGACATTCTTCTACCCAGATAAAGTGAGGACATTTGCATTTGTTTCCATTAGTTCATTAAACAAATATTTATTTTGTTCTTGTATTGTATTAAGGCATCCTAGTGGCTGAGAATACATTAGTGAATGAAGGGGAAAAAAACTTTCCCTAAGCTAAGTAGCTTACTGTAGGAAATAAATATAATAAATAGGCAAACATATAACATATTAGAAGATTGTAATCAAATTTGTGAGAATATAAGTGTAAGAAGGAGAATTTGGGAGAATAGTGGCAGGATTTGATATGTAGGCAATATCTAATTTTAAAAGTTGGCCCAGAGACTTGGATCATTACTTTTGAGAAGAAAAAAAAAAATCAGTTATATGTAGAAATCCTGAGTGTATCTTGTTTTGTTGAACCTAAACCATTGTTTATTGTGAACTCTGAAGAAGCTTTTTTTTCTGTTTGTGTGATACTGAGGACTAATACAGATGTGCTCTAACACTGAGCTATACCTTCCAGCACTTTTTTATTTTCATTTTTATTTTTATTTTGAGTCAGCGTTTTACTAAGTTTTCAGGGCTGGCCTTGAACTTGCAATTCTTCTGCCTTAGCTTAGTTACTGTGTGTAAGAGGCTTAATATAGTGTCTCAATAAGAAAATCTAAACTTTAACATATGATAATCCTTTTGAAATAAATGTTTCATTTTTCCTTTTAAAAATTAGGGTCACTGTCTTGCATGTGCCACTTAGAAAAATTGCTTTTTATTATACTGCAGTGATTAGTTTTTGATTTCAGGACCAACATATACAGTGTTAGAATTTTGAGGAGTTAAAGAGCCTTTTAAACATAAAAGTAATCACACATGCACACACGCACGCACACACGCACACACGCACACACGTCAATGTGTACCGAATTAAAAACTGAAAGTAAGAATTTTAAAAATGTTTTTGTTTGAAGTAATAACTACAGAGTCATTCTGCATTAATATAAAAAATTAATAAAATTAGTTTTCAGGATGATAACTAGAAGAGTCACCTTGTTTAGCACTTTTGCAAATCTCTTTAGTTGGTGGCATACATGAAAACAAGTTAGATTCTCATTTTTCCTCTGTGTTATATCTGTTTTTATACTAACATATTCTGTGACCTCTGGAAAAACTGTTCTTTACATTTTTTCATATTATGAGAAATTGAGTGTTAAAAGGAAAATCGTGTCTTACTAGTGTTGTTGAGGGATGTTGTACAGATTCTAAGCTGCATTTTGAGAACTGTTGCTCTAGGCAGTTGAATGATAGAAACAAATTGTGCCAGTAGTAAATGCTCCTTTTTTAAAAATTACAGTACATTAACATCTAATTATCAAAATTATAGATAAAAGCTATGTGGTCACACATTATGGGTTACTCCGTATTTAACAGTAGATTAGAACTCAGTTTTATTTTCAGTTGGTATTATTAATATTATCATCCTGCAAATAATTTCTTTGCATAAGGATAACTATAATATATATTATAAATACATGAAATTGTCGGTGGGGAGAAATACAGAAGAACCAATTGTATACTTAGATATCAATGTCAAATTGTGAATGTTTTAGAAGGTAGATCTATAAAGTTTATTATATCAGTATGATTGCTTTTATTTCTACTTTTTGATTTAATGATAGTTTTTCATTGCTTTGTATTCTTAGAACATTTTAATTCATTACACATCTTAGAATTAATTTTTCAGGTTTTAAAAAGATCCACTGGTGTTTTGATATGATTATGTTGAATATATAAATTAATTGGAGGAGAAAGATATCTTAATATTGAATCRTCTAATCCATGAATATGGAATATCTATTTATTTAGGTGGTCTTTAACTTTTTTATTGTTTTAAACATTACAGGCTTGAAATTTTTTTTTAGATTCATTTATATATTTTTTTGTGATTTCAGATGATACAAAAAGGGTATTTAAAATTCTCAAATTCCAGATTTTATTTCTAGTATTTTGAAATATAATTTTTAATATTAATACTATAGTTTGGAACTTTGCTTTCTTCTTTTGTTTGTTCTCTAGTGTTTTTTGTTGKTGGTGTTATTTTTGATGATTCTGTAGTACCTTGTGTTTTCCTAGTACATAGACACATCACCTGCAAATAAAAACAGTTTTATTTTTCTCCCTGCCTCAATCAACTAATTGAGATTGCCTGTTATTAGTAAACAAATGGTCTATTCTTGGGATTAACTCAATTTTATCACATATATTTTGTCTTATACTGTCTAGGTTTGGTTTATTAGTTTATGAATAATCTTTTTATCTGTTCATGAGGAATATTTATCCTTTCATTCCTTCTAATATCGTTATCTGATTTAAATATCAGTGTAATGATATGGCCTTATAAAATAAATTTTGATTTGTGTTTTTTATTTTTGAAGAGCATGCCAGAAAGATTGTATTGTTCTTTTAAATTAATAAAACCATTTAGGCCTATAGTTTTTGTTTTAGGAAAGCTTTTTATAGATTTAAGGATATTCAGAAATTCTGTTTCTTCTTGATCATTTTATTAATATGTACCTTTAAAGAGACTTGTTGATTTCATCTAAATTGTTGACTTTATTGGCATAAATTTTTMCAATGTCCCTTTTTAATCCTTTTTTTTTGTTAGATCTGTTTGATTATTCTTACTATATTCCTGATTTTGATATTTCCCCCTCTTTTCTACTTTATCAGACTTGTTAAGGATTTAATTGATTTTTTTTTAGTATTTTCAACAAAATAACTTTGAGTTTTTTTCTATTGTTTATTTTTTAACATTTTATTACCATTTATTTATTTATTTATTTATTTATTTATTTATTTTTGGTACTGTGGCTTGAACTCAGGGCCACTTAACCACTGAGCCACAGCCGAGACCTTTTTATTTATTTCTTCTTTTTTTAATTGATTTTTTCAAATAAATGCCAGTGGAATTCATTACAATTCATATTATACATATACAGCAGAATTTTTAATATCTCTGGTTGTGTATGAAATATATTCACACCAATTCATGTCTTCATAGATGTACTTTGGAGAATGAGGTCCATCACATTCCACCATCATTGCTAACCCCCTGCCCTCTCCATTCCCCTCCTACCACTCTGCCTTATCAAGAATTCATTTATTCCTCCCATGCTTCCCCTCCCTACCCCACTATGAATTAGTCTCCTTATATCAGAGAAAACATTCAGCATTTGTTTTTTTGGTATTGGCTAACTTCACTTAGCATTTTCTTCTTTAACTCCATCAATTTACCTGCAGATGCCATGATTTTATTCTCTTTTATTGCTGAGTAATATTCCATTGTGTATATATACCAAAGTCTCCCTATGCATTCATCTACTGAAGGGCATCTAGGTTGGTTCTACAGTTTAGCTATTGTGAATAGTGCTACTATAAATATCAATGTGGCTGTGTCCCTGTAGTATGCTGTTTTTAAGTTCTTTGCAGCCCCATAACTTTTTTGTATTTTATTTATAGACATAGTCTCACTGATGGGCTAAGCACCTAGTTAAATTGCTGAGGTTGGCTTTGAACTTGTGATCCTCCTACCTCAGCCTCCAGAACAGCTGGGATTAAAGGCATGCACCACTGCGTCCAGCCTTGATTTCTGCTTTTCATTTTATTCTCTTTTTTATATATCATTTGTTTCTTCCTCTTGCTTCTTAAGTTATATGTTGGTTTTACCAGTACTTTAGGTGTAATCCACGAATTTTGCTATGTTATATTTTCATTATCATTTAGTTTACATTAGAAAATGTTTCCTAGTAATTTGTTCTTTGACCTGAGTTTCTTTATTTGTTTGATTTTTGAAATATACAGCTTGATTTCCAGATACTATATATATGTAGATGATTTTGTAGATTTTTAGAATTATTGACTTAATACTTGTGTTTTCCTAGAATGTACTCTCCATTGATAGAATAATTGAAATTTATTGAGAGTTATTTGTACAACTTTTATTTTGGTCTTTTTAGTGAATTTTCTGTGTGCCCTTGAAAAATAAGTTATATTCTTCATTTATTGTGAAATGTTCTCTAAATATCACATGCATGATTTTTTCATAGTCATCTGTATTCCTGGTGATTTCCATATCCCTTTGACTTTTTTGTTTCCAACAACACCCGAGAGAATGTTGTTTAAAAGATCTGTATTACTGTGAATTTCCTTTTTGTTTTTGTTGTTGTTGCTTTATGTGAAACTATTATTAGATTCTATCTTCATACTGATCTGTGGGGATGTGTCCATGTAGGAGGCTATTATTATAATCTCTGTAAAAGAGGTGTTGAGGAAGGACATTTGTAGTAGAATTAGAAAACAGAGAACAAATATAAAAGATATTGTATAGAATTTAGCTTAAGATTAGACAGTGGTGGTAAGGGAGAGAGAGGATTTAAGTCTTGAAGGTGTCATTGGCTTTGACATTGAGAGAAATGGGAAAGTCAGAAAGTGTGGGCTGATTGGATCTGAGAGATAGAGGGATCAAATTTTATATCAGTGTCTTCTAATCATAAATGAAAAAGAAGTTTGGTTAAGGGCCAAAGTTTTGTAACAGGTGATAAATTAATCTCTTGTCTTATGTGTAAGTGGCTGACTGATGAATTCAGAAATAATGAGGATTTTAATATGCTACTAAGGAAATCCTGTTCTAGGAGACAATTATGAAATGTTATATGAGAGATATAGTATTAGAAATATAAGCAACATATTCTTGGTAAAAAGAATATTACTGATTACTTCTTTTGA